TACAAGGTCACACGCACACTGCATCATTTCCACTTGTACGGAAGACGTCAACACTACGTATTGCCCGATGAACGATTTTTTTAGATTGGTTAATGTGGGCCACAATTTCAACCTACGAACGAACGCCTCTCGGTCGTCGGATGACCGATTGGTTGATTTTGTAATCGTGTATTCTCACCTTAAGTGAATGCAGATAAGGCACTAAATGAGTTTAATTGCCATCTTAATCAGCCATAGAACCTGTGTAATTAATATGTGTTTAGTTTTAAAGGGATGAGTTGGCAACCCTAGTTCTGATGGTGACTGCGAGTGGACATACAACACACAACAAGCACAGTACCCATTCGTATAGCTCGTTATCAGCTCTGTCCAAAACTTGCCATAAGATAGTAGAATTTTGTTCCAAGATTTTCATTTGCAGAACATTTACTTGATTTCCTAATCATTAGTGGGGTCAAATCAGCATTTGTTTTTGACCACAGTGACAAGAAAAATTTGAAGGGACAAAATGGAAATTTTTTCTTAAACAGTGTATGTGGTTTTCATTCAGAAAAGTACATTCATTCCTAATTTTGAATATTAAAAGTAAATTAAATTCCTAAATATTTTCAAATGATGTTTATCAAGCCATTAAATGTACTAAGAATTTCCATACAAGTGTTCATCTAAAAATCTACAAGTGCGCGCCAGCTTAAGGACCTAGCAGGCTGAAACACATTAGGTGCTTGTCCTGTATATTTTTATTCTGATTTAACCCCCCTGGCAGTATTCCCGAGTGTAGATTGGGGTAAAGTTTCAGTACCACAAGCGGTAACCCCGAGCTACACTCGGGCTTACCATGCAGTGCTGCTCCGCGATCCCTCGATCACTTACCTTGTCCTGCGCTCCTGCGATGTCCCTCCTGCAGTGTCCCTGGCAATGTAATTCTGTGGATGCCAGCATCTGTCTTCCGGGTTCCATTCCCTGCGAGCATCGGGACGTACGGGGGACGGAACGGCAGGAAATTTGAAAGTGACATTCATTAAATGCACTAAAATCACATAATAAAACATTACTGTATCAAACCATTTCACATACATTTTGTCCCGAGTGCTTTGTCCGGCGCCCGGCGTGCATTTTTACTGTTCTTTCTGCCTGGAAACTGAGAAACGTCCATGGCGTCCAAAAAACGTCCCTTTAGGTCAAAAGCGGTTTTAGACCAGCTAGAGAACAGCGATTGTAAATCAGAACCACTTGCAGAATTGAGTGATAATGATTCGTGGGGAAATTCGTCATCAGACACTGAAAACGATTTTGCGACTTTGCTCAGTGATGTGCGAACTTGGCGTTCTATTTCAAATTTCAGTGTTTTTGGTTTGATTATATTATTGAATTACATTTATTATTATTATATTATTATTTTTTATGATTATTTATTAAATTATAATTTATGATTTCGTGTTTCAAGTTTTATCCTACCCGGGATGTTTACTAGACTCTTGTTCGGACAGATTTCAGTGAGTTATTCCTAAAAATTACAGGCCTACAATAAAAAAAATACATATTTCCATGCAAAAAAATTTTACCGCTTTGAGCACAGAAATATGGACATAATCAGACCGCTAGGGGGGTTAATAAAGAGAGATTTTGGATGGGCTGAGGTGTGCTGGGTACTTTTTCTATACATTATGCAAGCATGGTCACCCTCCAAAAAATCTGGTTTAAGAAGTGCCATTAACGTGTGCACCACAGTCTAATTTGAACGTGCTTTGCAAATTTTTCTACTGTAGTTTCTGTGAAAAAATGAAAAATTGAGCCTGCAGATCTGTTTTGATGTATTTATAAAAGCAGATATTTTTATTAGCAGTGGTAACTATTTTAGTAATTAATATATATATATAAAGTGCAGCGCTATCTCTAAATGTACTAAATAATTTATAAATATAAAGTGCAACACTAATTATACAAGTGCTCCAAATAATACCACAAGGTACTAAATTAATGTGCAAAATAGTGCATACAAAAAGAAAGTGCAAACCGTGTATTACAATTCATACAAATAAAGTGCAAATTAGTGCTAATATTAATCACTCCAACCATCTGTTGATACATAAATATATTGTCCAAATGCAGCAAAAGACTATTTTTCTTTTTCAATCTTCATGCATGTGTCACACGTGACCACACTGTGTAACTCCAAACTTTAGCCTTGATGGCCTCTCACCTCCTTACCCCCCGACCCCACAGGGTAAGCTTGCTTTAAACAGGACACCTCTTTGATAGCTCACCAGGCCTCGCCTCTAATACTCTATCAGCAGTCAGCTCCTCGGTTCATAAATAAACAAGAGAGACTAACATAGTGTAACCTGTTTATTTACTGATGTAAGTATGAAAAAAGATTGCCCACTCACATTTATATTCGTCTTCTCACAGGCCTTCAATACCCCATGCTATAAATCTCCTGCATGGGTATTTTGATACAGGGATTTCAAATATGGCCGCCACGCCGGAACCCTGAGGAAGTAACGTGTTACCGTGACGCAATGCGTCGGTACGCGAGGAGGATTCTGGGAGCGCGGTGACGTCATTTCCGGCGTGGCGGCCATATTTGAAATCCCTGTATCAAAATATATTTATATATTTATTTTCTGTGGATTTATGTATCAACAGATGGTTGGAGTGATTAATATTAGCACTAATTTGCACTTTATTTGTATGAATTGTAATACATGGTTTGCACTTTCTTTTTGTATGCACTATTTTACACATTAATTTAGTACCTTGTGGTATTATTTGGAGCACTTGTATAACTAGTGTTGCACTTTATATTTATAAATTATTTAGTACATTTAGAGATAGCGCTTCATTTATTCACTTTAGTTGGTAAGGAGTGTTGTGTCAGCAGCTTGGTGAATAGGGCCCCATTTCTAGCGCAGGAAGTCCTTGCATTTACATTTTAGTAATTAGGCGACTTAAAACAACACTAAAGGATAAGTTCACCTTTGGGAACATGTTACCTGTTCCATCTGATTTTACGGTGGAACATGTAACATGTTCCCATAGCCGTCACCGCCGCTGACGGCCGCCCCCCCCCCCTCCCTCTGACAGATAAAACGGGTAGAAGTCTCCCCGTTCTATCTGCCAGATTTTAGAACAGCACAGCTGTGCGGGTCTTCGCCCACACAGCCGCGTCATTCATTCATGGATTTACGTGAATGAATGAACTGCAAGTCCCGACAGCCTTAGCAGCTGTCAGCTTGTAGTTTTCAATGAATTACCACAGCGCTGTGGAGCCCCGTGGTAGTTCATTGAAGCTTCCGCTCAGAATATCTGCTTGGCTGTACATCCTGTACGTTAAGCAGATAATCTGACAGGTCTGCAGGAGACCTGCATGGCATCAGAGATCTACTGATCTCTGGTGCAATGCTTTCCAGGCTCCTTTGGACAAAAATAATAAATGCACATTTTTTTACCTGCAAAAAAATTTGCATTTATTATTTTGTCTAAAAGGTGAATGTATCCTTTAAGGCTGCAAGAACATCCTGCACATCATTGAAGTGTTACTATTGCTCTTTTTAGCATTTGTGACACTTCTGACTGCCATTAGTGTGATCTCACACATCTAACACATACGTTTTCCTAGTATTAGCTTTATTTAAATCTAGTTGTTCCTGTCAATGAGCAGTAGCTGTACAGCTTCAAGGTTTCGTACGTTACCAATGGCTTTACTTGAAGCAAGATCATTACAGAATGTTACAAACCACTAAATCTGCATCACAAAATCTAAATGCTCTGGCTGGAAGTTTCAGCATTGTCACAAAGTGTGCAACTGGTAACATCAGCACATGGGTTTTCTTTTTTTTTGGTGGGGGCACATGGGTACCCCCACCAGCACATGAGTTTTCTTTTTTTTTTTTTATGGTGGGGGCAGGGCACTGTTCATGCATTAAGCTACTTGTTTCCCTTCGTCCAAGTCACAAAAGCAAATAACTACACAATGGAAAGTTCTGTTGTGTTCTTTGTTTTATGCTTGGTCCCAGTGGTGTCTTTAGGATTTGTGCTGCCCTAGGCAACACAAACATTGGCTCCCCCCATTGACCAACAACACCCCAGCACCCCCCCTACCCCCACCCGAGACAGCCTTCCACTACCACCACTCCCCATACACTGGCAACCCCCACCCCGGCAAGAGATAAGACACTCACCTTCACAGCTCCGGACATCCCCCAGGAACAAGAGTCAGGCTCTGCATACACCAACAACCAGCCCGCGGCCTCTCTCAGATCCCACCTGGTCCCCATTCTGCGAAAGTCTTACTTTCTTTCGGGGGACAGACCTGCCCCCCTTAAAAATGCTGCTTCCCCCCTGAAAAATGCCGCCCTAGGCAAATGCATTGTTTGCCTTGTGGTAAATACACCCCTGCTTGGGCCCTGAAAAGAGTCAGAAATGCTAAAACTATAGAGTGCAAAATCTGGTGTAGATCTGCATAGAAATCAGCTTCCAGATTTTATTGTCAAAGTTTAATGGAACAAGCTGAAGTTAGAAGCCAATTGGCTGCCATGCACAACTGCACCAGACTCTGAGTGCTCCATTTATAGTACCGTATTTTCCGGCGTATAAGACGACTTTTTTTTACTTAAAAACATACCCCACCAATTGGGGGTCGTCTTATACGCTGGGTATAGAACTGGATGTGAGGTACTACTGTACGGTAGCTTCAGCTACATACAGTGTACCGCGCTGAGCCAATCAAGGCAAGCGATGTATTCTATTAATGAATACAGAGCCTGCTCGGATTGGCTGAAGTTGTGACATCATCAGCCCGCCTCTCTGACACAGCCAATCTGAGCAGGCTCTGTATTCATTAATAGAATACATCACTTGCCGTGATTGGCTCATATGATGTCCTCCCATTCTCTGCGCATGTGCGGCGATGCGCTGTGTCCCTCGGACACAGGGATCGCTGATCACGGAAAGAGCCGAAGATGTCGGCTCGGTCATGTGATCAGCTGTGTCCAATCACAGCTGATCACATGTAAACGGAAATGCCTGTTATCGGCATTTCTCTCCTCTCGAGCTGTCACACTGACAGAGGAGAGGAGAGCCGGTAATCGGCATTCCTCAGAGGGGACATCTACACTGATCATCAGGGCACTTATGATCAGTGTGCCCTGATGATCAGTGTAGCCCCAGCAGTGCCAGCTGTCAGTGTCCATCAGTGTCACATCAATGCCACATATCAGTGCCTACCAGTGCACATCAATGCCACATATCAATGCCCATCTGAGCTGGCTTTCACTGTCACCCATCAGTGCCAGTCAGTGCCACCTATCAATGCCAATCAGTGCCACCTATCAGTGCTGCCAATCAGTGCCGCCTATCAGTGCCATGTATCAGTGCTGCCTTTCAGTGCCCATCAGTAATGCCTGTCAATGCCCATCAGTGCCATCTATCAGTGCTGCCAATCAGTGCCAGTCAGTGCCGCCTATCAGTGTGCATAAGTGCCGCCTATCAGTGCCAGTCAGTGCCACCTATCAGTGCCAGTCAGTGCTGCCTATCAGTGCCATATATCAGTGCCATGTATCAGTGCTGCCTTTCAGTGCCCATCAGTGATGCTTGTCAATGCCCATCAGTGCCACCTACCAGTGCCTCCTCATCAGTGCCCATCAGTGCCACCTATTCCATATGGGTACAGTGTTGCATGACCGCTCAATTGTCATTCAAAGTGTGACAGCGCTGAAGAAAGCTGAAAATTGGCCGGGGGGAGGGGGGGAGTGGGTATAAGTCCCCTGTAGGCTAGGGGTTAAATGGTGTTGCCTCAGAAGGGGGGTAGTCTTATACGACGAGTATAGCCCAAAACCTATGTTTTAACTGGAAAATTAGGGGGTCGTCTTATACACCCAGTCGCCTTATACACCGGAAAATATGGTAAATATCCCCAATACTGATTTAAAATAGGTGTTAAACATATCCTTTCTCATGTTAGGTACAAAAAAAAAATGTCAATGATGAAATTACGAACTATATTTTTAGCTATATTATACATATGTTATTTTTATCACTTTATGGAATGTTGGTGTGGAATGTGATTTGTTTTTGGAATCTTGGAGCCTGGGAATGTGATAACATAAAGATGAATTCTCATAGCTCTTGTTACTGTCATTTCAGGACACAGATCCAGCAACACCGTGCACATGATATTCCCTGCATGTACTCGGTTACGTTTTTCCTTTTATTGTAATCTGAGTTGTGTTCTATACAAAAACAAAAGATACAAGAGGAATTCAAAGTAAGAAAAATAGATCGTTTTTCTTATTAAAGAACATTTCACCTTATTTTATTATACATTCCTGTTTATGACATGCCTTTTTTTTGCCATTACAAGTTTGAATGATGCCCAGAATCAATTCCAATGCGGCTGCTTGGGAGTGAAGTGGTTAAAAGCGAAACCAAAATGTTTTGAAAATCCTGTGATCAAAAACACAATTTGAATTTTTAAATGGAGCCCGTATATCTTTGTTCTCTATAGCAGAACATTAAAATCTTTCATTTACTAGAAATTGAAAATATAATCAAGCTCTTTTCAAGAGCTTCACTTTTATAGAGTTTATTATCGATTTATTAAAAAGAAGAAAAGACAAGAAAAAATGTTATTAATCTGTGGGAGGGATACAACACATGTATTCTCATTATCTATGTTATCGGTAATGAGATCCTTGTTGACACAGTTGTTTGTTATTGTTTTATTGTACATGGCATCATTTACATAAATTCAATTTAGAACGTATATGAAAATGCTTTGATGTGTGTCATTTCATAGACTTCAAGTCTCTGCTTGATGAGCATTAATATAACACCCATTATAGTCAGTATATCCACTCATTTATAAATGTATTTATAGATTTCTTGGATTTTAATGTATTGGCATTCTTAAAGTGTAACTCTAGCCATAGACAGGCTAGAACAGCTGTCAGCTTTTTATTGCTATTTGTGGTGGTTTTCATTGTAACAGAAAGTGATAGAAATTGCAAAATGTTATGATTGTCCCCAGAAAAAAAATAGAAGGAAAATCTTCCAATGAGGACACGTTTTAGAATAAAGTGTCTAAAACATGCCAGGGTACTAGATGTAATCCTAGACTCCTATCTGCCCTTTCAGCTCCAAATCCAATCACTGTCCAAATCTTGTAGGTTTCACCTCCACAACATCTCCAAGATACGCCCGTTGTTAACCTCTGAAACTACTAAACAACTTGTTCACTCCATGGTTATCTCTCGGCTTGACCATTGGAACTCCCTCCTCATTGGCCTACCTCATCGCAGGCTATCCCCTCTTCAGTCTATCATGAATGCTGCTGCCAGACTCATCCTCTAACCGTTCCATATCTGACATCCCTCTCTGCCAATCCCTCCACTGGCTTCCCATTGCCCAAGAAATAAACTTCAAAACATTAACAATAACATTTAAACCATTTATAACTTTGCCCAAAATTACATCACCAATCTTGCCTCCAAATATCGCCCAATATATATACGGACCCTATATATAAACTAAAATTACTTATTTACGTCTTATTTCCATACATTCAAATTTATATTAAATATTTTCTACTAACTCTTTTTTATGAAAAGATTTTGAGCTAATTTATAGTTTGTACTATCAATTAGTATTTATTAATTTTATTATTTTTTATATACTTTTTTTTATAATTTTTGTTGTCCATCTAATACTATTTATTATTAATATTATTCCTATGTTCATATATATTTCAGAGATCGATACATGTAATCCATGACCCTTTGTATTGGTATGTAATCATTTATTAATATTCATAGAGACATATAAGATAGTTATTGGTATACATATATTTATATACATATGTTGTTTTATGAATGTTGCTTAATAAATCGGGTGCGCTCGGCCCAGCCCGTTTATATCACCTCCTGTATAAGAGTGATCATCCAGCCATCCTATTAGGTCTGAAGAAAAAGCAGAAGCTTTGAAACGGATCACCTGACTCATCACCTGACTTGTCCTCGCATCCCCATTGGTCGCTGCTTTGGTCCGGTCTTCCATGCGTTCCACAGTGGTTGCGGTGTCCCTGGTTGACGGCACATCTGACTCCTGGAACCCAGGCACCATTAGAAACTATTTGGGGACTCGATTCAATGCCCATATATCCACTCTATTTGTGAGTAGCATTTTAACTATATTTCAATAAACTTGCAATATATACTGTACTTAGGCTGGAGCTCCCTTGTGTTTCCTTTAAGGATCCGTAATATACTGTTCTTTTGCTCTGATCCTGTCTGTGACGACTAACTATGGCATATTATTGTCCCCTATGTCTCTCTGACTTCATCTACATCATTTGTCTTCCCTGTTGAACAGTTTGTGAATTGTTCACTGTTTGCTCAGTTGATCTGGAAAACAAAAAAAATAATAATAAAAATGTTAATTATGAAAAAAAAAAATTGACCCATTCTGCATCCTGCACATTGTTATTGGCCCTAGCAATACTAGGAAGCTTCAATGACCAATAGAGAATCAAATAAGAAACTGGATTTAGGATCTCAGGCACAGAAGCCAGTCAACATTTGCACCAGAGACTCCTGGGACACCCCTGTTCCCCGTAGGTGCTGCTGTACACATTTAGTGCTGGTAGGTTGACTGGGTAAGTGGGTTCACTTAAAATTAAGTTAAGCTGATCACATTCACATTTATATCCAAACAAGTATAACCACTGTATATTCCCTTTAATTGATGGATAGATCACTACTAGGATTTCATGCTTTTTGTCATGATTCACACCACTTGATCAGCAACATATGCACTAGGCTCCCCTGTGGAGCTGTAATTGTTTCTAAGCTAACATTTCTACAGTGGCATAATAAAAAGTAATTATTCCACCCAAGAACTTTGCCTCTTGTCGCTCTGCTTGGTAAGTATGTAGATGATGGAAGCTGGATTAATTCTTTGTCTGTCTTTGAAAGCCTGTCTTAATTCCCGATTGGTCAAATTGCCTGTATTCAAGTTCATTAGATTCCAGTTTAATTAAAATGCAGCTGTTTGAATTCTTATTACATTTCAAACATTCCAGACACATCGGCAATGAGACGGCTTCGCTAGTTCCTAATGAATTATCTGATCAGCCACTGGGAATTTTCCTGCTTACGGAAAATTATCATTCCTCTTAATGCTACAAATGAGACCATCTTTTAAAGTAATCTCATTGTGTTTAAGTTAAAGCAATATACTCATTTAGGGATATTAAGACAGTTTATAAGAAGTTCACAGAGTTTAGGACCATTTGCAGTTGCTGTTATAAAGTGTTTATTAATCAGTGGCTGTGAAGGAACAATGAGGGAACACTTCATAAGGCAAGAAATGAAATTAAGGACTACTTTATAAAGCAGAATCGGATAATAATCAAAGCAAGTATTCTAGTTTAATAAGATGTTATCCAGCTAGATTCAGCAATGTTTTCTAGTAGAACTGTAGTTTCTTGTCCCTTTCCATCTCTCTCATTTCCATCATGTTCCAATAATATGTGTGCAAGCTTACAAACTTTTCAAAGAGAGAGGGGCAGTGCTGGAATCATTATATACAGTATGTATATCAGAGTATTCCTATGGCTCAGGAACATGCAGATCTTTATGCAGAGCTCTGCACAGTAAGTATTGGTGCAAGGTGACCGATTTAAGAAATGCTCCCACTCAGTATCAGCGCTGACTGGTCTTCAGCTTGTTCTTGTGCTCTGACCTGTATCCTGATACATATGATTCTTGTTACTGACCTGATTCTAGATCCGGCACTGTAATGATGCCTACTAGTTCTTGACCTCAGCTTCCTCAATGTCCTTGATTCAGCTGGTGATTTTGTATGGCACTGCCTGCTCGTTGCCGACCCCGGCTTACTCTGTGACTCCACCACTGTCCCTCACTCTGTTATACGCTAAAATATAGTACCAACCTGGAATACGCCAAGAATCATCTGCAGTCATTTATGTGTACACCTGCCACCTGCCTGCTGGAATCATTGGTGGACTCTGCCATACTAAACCTGTGGCCAAACCAGAATTCTCCTTTAACATTTGCTGGTTTCCATCATGGTTCTTGGATCTTCTTGGTCAGCATGTTTAGTCCAAGGATCGACTACCAAAATCTTCCAGCACTCATCTTCCCCCTGTCCCTTGGCACCGTCTACTCCACTTCCAGGGGTGGTTGGGTGGGGAATACAAGAGAGGCAACCCTTGTCATTTTAGTCTCCTATTAGGTATCTGTATTTTCCCAAGCTTATATAAGACCAACTCTAGCAAAACTTTTTATTTTATTTTGGATAAAGTAGGGAAGGGTTAGAACCTCTGTCTTTAATG